ATAGGTAGAGACTGGCAATGGATACCAGAAACTAAAAATAGTACATACCTGAAAATTCTGAAACGTTTTGAAGACAAAAGAACTGCTGCTTTCTCTATTCATCAAATTGCATTAACAGGAGCATCTGAAGGAAAAGCAGTTGGACAATGGTTTGGTCCCAATACAATAGCACAAGTATTAAAGTACATATTTCTCATATTTTAAATGTGTTTATATGTAAGGTTTGATGTTTTATCAAATTATAATTTTCAGAAAATTAGTTGTATATGATGAATGGAGTTCAATTACAATACATGTTGCTCTGGACAATACATTAATAGTTAATGACATTTGTAAGTATGTGATTTTTTTTTTATTTTAATGCATCTGTTTCTTTATTCAAGGTTTCAATGTTTATTATTTAATTAAATATTTACAGTAAAACAATGTAGAGTAGAAGGAGGTACAACAGCAGAAGCAGATGGTGATGTACCATTGAAAGCACCTAGCCAATGGAAACCTTTATTACTTTTAATACCTCTTCGCCTCGGGTTAAGCGAGATTAATCCTGTCTACATTAACGTTCTTAAAGTAATAAAGAAATAAATGTTCTTGCATGAGTGGCTAAAGTTGGACTGAAATATGAATGAAGTTCTGGATAATGTATTCATACCTGTAATTTTTCAGACTTCATTCAAAATACCACAATCTCTAGGAGTAATGGGAGGGAAACCCAATCTTGCACTATATTTCATAGGATGTGTTGGTATGTTTGAATTTGTTAAATTTTCTAATAAGATATTAAACTCAAAAAAATGAAAAAGTGCAGAAATTATAAATTTATTGTCTGCAGGAAATGAAGTAATTTATTTGGATCCTCATACAACACAAAGGTCAGGTACTGTTAACCGAAAAATAGACGAGGAAGAAATTGAAATGGATGCCACTTACCACTGTAAATTTGCTAGTCGTATTCCTATCACAGGAATAGATCCTTCTGTAGCACTTGTTAGTAGACAACCTTATTATTTAAAAATTAGTTATGAAATTAACTAATTAATAACAGAACATACTTTTATGAAACAAGTAAACCTTTCATTTCAGTGCTTTTTTTGTGCAACTGAAAAGGACTTTAAATCTTTATGTAAATCTATTCAAGAAGAATTAATAACTTCTGAAAAGCAACCTCTGCTTGAATTATGTGCAGAGAGATTAGCATACTGGTCTCCAGCGGAAGATGTTGCTGCAGAAGCAATAGCAACTTCAAGTTGTAAGTATCTTTACATTAATACAATATTAATAGAAAAGTAGGATTTACCAAATAATTTACTTCAAATAAAATTTCTTATTTATATGAGTCAAATTATCTAGTAGTAATGGATTTATACTTATTTATTGATAAAGTATACGTAATTTAAAATTATTGGGTTGAGTCATAAGTAATGGCGGATACAGGTAGTGAATTATAAGGCTTTCTGGAAATTCTAAATGACCTACAGCCTTTTATGACTTTTGTGTTTAGTTTCGACCTTCAAGCCAGGTCGATTATCAGACGTTGACAATAGCCTCTTAAAAGTTCTATTTGAACAAAATCTTTATTAAATAAGAAGAGAATTAGCAGATAATGATAAAGACCGAATTTTATTAAAATTTTTTTTATTAAACGGCTAATTATTCTTGAGACGAGAATTAAGAAAATTCACAAATACTACTTAATAATGGTGAATTGTTATAAATTAAAGTTTTTTACAATTATTTTAAAAAGCAATACAGTTAATGTAAAGGAGCTGCAATTATTTATGATTTAGTCCAAGATAACAACTTAAAATTTACTGATAAATTTTATCATCAAAATATTAAAAATACAAGATATTAAATTTCAGTAAATCTGATTTGTTACAGTTTATTTTAGCAATATTTTTTTTAGTTGTAGATTTTGAACACATAGATCCACAATGTGATACATCAGATGAAGATTTTGAATTACTTGGTTAACATTTAATCACTAATTAATGACAGTCTGCAATATGAATAATGTATATATAACATCAAGAATGGTCCATTCGTACATAAAATACAGCTATTCATTCAATATACATAATTGACAAACTAGTGCTATTTCAGTACTAGCAGTTGAATAATAAAATAATTTATACCAAACAAACAATTAAAATATTGTATATATTACTTATATTTTACT